CATCCCTACCCAAAATCTCAAGGACTCAATCCGACAAGGCACCTATTGAAGAAGATGGACTTGTTCAAGAGCTTAGTGTTAATAGCCAAGTAAAGTAAACCAGAACCATTAATATAAAAGGTTCGAAGAGCCTAGTGTTAACTGACGTGTAAGAGAAGCAACTCATCTTGAGGGTCCAAGACGAACAAGTTACTTTCTATATCTGGAAGGCCATCAAGTATCTCGCGGAATCTAATTCGTGTCTTCAAGTGGATATTGTTGATCCTGTGGTGACCGATTCTTTATGTGGACTTTTTAAGGATCCTTTTGAAACATGTCTTGCACATTCTTCAAGTACCGAGGATGGAGATCCTGAAGTTGAGCACATGGCGTATTATTTGGGGCTACACCTTTATGTTCTTACAAGAGGGCACCATAATTTGAAGATTTGAAAAAGAATTCTTTACCATCACTTCAACAAGCACCAATACTTGAATTAAAACCTATTCCTTCTCACTCGAGGTATACTTATGCAGGAGATTCTTCTACACTTCTATTTATCATTTCTAATTCTCTAAATGAGTTGGAAGAGGAGAAATTCCTTTGGGTGTTGAGAGAGCACAAGGAGACTATTGGTTGGAATATTGCTAATATTCAAGGAATTAGGCCTTCGTTATGTATGCACGAGATCCTCATGAATGATGATTTTAAACCATTGGTGGAGCATCAAAGGTGGTTAAATCTGAATATGAAAGAAATGGTGAGAGCTAAGGTGGTTAAGTGGCTTGATGCGGGTATCATTTATCCGAGATCGTATAGTGCATGAGTAAGTCCTGTTCAAGTGGTACCAAAGAAAAGAGGTGTCATGGTGGTGAAAAATGAGGACAATAAGCTTATACCTACAAGACTAGTGACATGTTTGAAAGTGTACATTGACTACAGTATGTTCAACAATGCTATTAGGAATGATCACTTCCCTTTTCCTTTTATTGATCAAATGCTTGAACGATTGACGTTATTCTCATTATTGCTTCTTGGATGGATATTTGGGCTATAATCAAATTCCAATAGTCCCGAAAGATCAAAAGAA